CCTCCCCCCACCACATACCTCTACTCCCAACCTCTCACCAAACCCCTCTCTGAACCCCAACACTGAAACCCCTATCCCCACTCATTCTCCAGACAGGACACCTACCCCCATTTACACAGCAGAAACTAAACTTGAACAACAGGCTACCATTGACCTCATCATCCATACCATTGAAGGAGAAATTTTTAACATCTGCAAGACAGGATCTCTCTTATCTCAATCCAGAGATGACCTTGACATCAACCTCCCCCCCCTCCAAATTACACAACCACCTTTCTCTCAGATGATGAATCTTCACACCTGCAGCATGACAATAATCCTGAACAACACAGCCAGAGAACACCATCAGAGCCCCTGCAACATGAATCTGACTCTCAGAATTTGGATGTACAAAGAGACACTCAAAAGGAACTACACACAGCTACTGCCACAAGGAAATCAAAAAGAATACAAGCAAAGCAGCTTTCAGTCAGTCCCCTAAACACTGTTTCCTTATGAATTGTCTGTTCTGGAATGTCTGTGGAATGGCCTCAAAATTACAGAGACTCGCCACAATTGTTATGGAGCACAAGATCAATTTCATCACAATCATTGAACCCAAAAGCCACCCCAACAAAATCACAAAGTTTCAGTTAGATTTGGGTTTCACAAATTCCATACAGAGCTCTAGTAATAGAATCTGGATTATGTGGAAAGATTCACACTACAATTACATCTCTCACTCTGACAAGGGTCAACTCCTAAGCATTAAGATGCAGGACAAGCTTAACAATTTCAACATAACCATAAGTGGAGTCTATGGTAAACACACCATAGAAGAAAGGAAACATCTTTGGAAAAATATTCAAGAAGCCAGCAAAGTTATGGACTGCTCATGGATTGTGGGTGGAGACTTCAATGCCATATCTTCTATTGATCACCATAAAGGAAAAAGCTCCCCCTGTCTTCAAAGTATTGAGGATTTTGATCACTGTTTAATGGAGAGTGGCCTATTTGACCCCCCTTTCACAGGCAGCCCTCACACATGGACTGGGGTTATCTGGAGAAGGCTGGACAGAACCTTTGTCAATAACTCCTTCCTCAACCACTTTCAAGATATCCACACCCATCACCTTCCCATAGGATCCTCTGACCATTGTCCCCTTAAACTCACAGCAAACAACCCCTCCTACTCTGGCCCTAGACCCTTCAGATTTCTAAACTGCTGGACTGACCACCCCACTTTCAGGAAAATTGTGGAAGAAAACTGGTCGCCTTATAAAGGGGGGGATGCATGGTCTTATGGAGAAACTTTGGATTCTCAAAGGCCAGCTACAGAAATGGAACAAGTCAACCTTTGGAAACATATTCACCAAAGCCAAAGAGATGGAAGAAAGACTCAAAGAAGCTGAGGAAATTTTTGACAGTGATCCTAGTACAGATAATAGAATCAAGCTTCATCACATCAGGGCACTGCATACCAAAGCCATCAATACTGAATTCAACTATTGGAAGCAGAAAGCAAGCATAAAGTGGCTAAAAGAAGGGGACTGTAACTCCTCTTTCTTCCATAACACAGTCAAGGAGAAAAGATACTTCCAAAAAATCCAAAGGATTAAATCCTCACAAGGGCCGTGGCTGGTGGATCAAAATCAAATGTTGGAAGAGGCCCACTCCTTCTACTCCAATCTCTTTTCATGGAAGAAAAGTGATAAAATTGACACTTTCACCAGTAACATTCCAACCCTAATCACACATGAGGATAACTCTTTCCTAGATGCTCTACCCACAGAAGAGGAAATCAAAGACAGTGTTTGGAGCCTTGACCCTACAAGTGCAGCTGGTCCTGATGGTTTCACAGGGGAATTCTTCAGATACTGCTGGGACATAATCAAAGAGGATGTCACCAAAGCTATCCAGGAATTTTACCTTGAGATTAATATCCCAAGATCCATGGCCAAAACAAACATAATCCTCATTCCCAAAAAAGACAACCCAGGCTCCTTTGAAGACTACAGACCCATCTGTCTTTCAAATTTCATAGCCAAAGTAAGCTCTAAAATCCTTGCTACCAGAATTGGGAAAGTCCTCCCTAAAATTATTTCTCAGGAACAAGGGGCCTTTGTCCAAGGAAGAATCATCCAGGATCAGATCCTCCTTGCCCAAGAAATGATTCATGGAATAGGTCACAAAGCCAGAGGGGGAAACCTAGCTATCAAACTGGACATGTCAAAGGCCTTTGATAGGGTCTCCTGGGACTACCTTGAAGCCATCATGCAGAAATTTGGTTTTGGATCTAAGACGAGAACCCTTATCTCAAACCAGCTCAAGGCTACCCAACACTTCATCCAAATCAATGGGTACCCCACTAAAGCCATCAACCCTAAAAGAGGACTGAAACAAGGAGACCCAATATCTCCTCTTCTCTTCATAATTGCAGCAGAAGGCTTTAGCAGTAGGCTTAATCACCTTATTAACAGCAAACACATTGGTCCCTACACTATGGGCAGACACTACCAACCTATCAACCACCTTGCCTTTGCAGATGACTTGCTCATTTTCCTTAATGGATCAGTCTCAAATCTCATTAAATTTTCAAAGTTCCTAAAAGACTATGAGGAAGCTTCTGGCCAAACCATCAATCACAGCAAGTGCTACTTCTACCCCCCCTCCCAAAACCCTAACATCTAAAGCTAGAAAGATGGAGAATGTTCTGAATATGAACAAAGGCAGCCTCCCTTTCAAATACCTGGGTGGACACATCCACAAAGGAATCAATAGGAAAAGATACTGCACTGATCTCCTCACTCATTTTGACAAGAAACTCCAAAGCTGGTACAAGAAACTCCTCTCCCAAAGTGGAAGAATGATCCTAATTAAGCATGTCCTAAGTGCAATCCCACTTCACACACTAGGATGCACAAACTTACCTAAAAGTGTTGTCAAGAGCCTGAATCAAAAGATGAATAACTTTCTCTGGGGTAACAATGATGGAATTCCTAAGTACCACTGGCACAAATGGGACACTCTCTGTCTTCCCAAAGCTGAAGGAGGATTAGGCTTCACTAGTCTGGATACTCTTCAAAAGGCTTATGAGCTAAAAATGTGGTGGACCTACATGCAAAATAGCTCTATTTGGGCCACTTTCCTGCACCAGAGATGCCCCAGAGGCCTAAATGTTCCTTCCCAGATCATTGACTCTCCTATATGGAAGAGACTCTGTCAAACCAATGCAATTACAGATGAATACCTTACCCTGAATGACCAAAACCATCTCACCTGGAAGGATGGCCAATCTGGCTTCACTTTACGGCTTACTAAAGAGGCTGTGAGAGAGAAAAGCAACCCTATTCCTCTATTAGAATATGCTTGGCACAAGGACCAATATCCTAAAGTCTCCACTTTTCTTTGGAGACTCTACAACAACACCCTACCCTTCCCCAAGCAATTAACCAAATTCAACTTTTGCCTTCCCTCTATATGTCTCTTTTGCAGGAAAAATGAAGATAACGCCAACCATACACTCAAGGATTGTCATTACAGCAAAGCCATTTGGACACATTTTGAATCTCTATTCCATTTCACAAGATCAACTACACATGGGATACGAGCTTACCTCATGGCATGGTGGCAACAGACAGGGCCTGCAAACCCAAATAGAGCAGCAAAAACCGTTCTTCCAGGAATAATAGCCAATGAAATCTGGAAAGAAAGAAACCGAAGAAATCACAATGAGGAGCATAAATCAGAATATCAAATCATCCAAATCATTTGGAAGTCACTCATTGAATGGGCAGCAGTAAAGAACAAAAAGAGGTTGCATTTCGACAATCTAGAACTACCGGGTTTCCACACTCCAGCAATCAAGATCCTAAAATGGAAGGGAGAAATAGGAGTGATTCTAACCACAGACTTGGCAACAAGAGGGGAGCAAAGTGCGGGGGGAGCAATTCTGCGCACAAACACAGGACGATTCATAGCAGCCATTACCTCAACCGTAAGAGCAACTAACTCTCTTGAAGGAGAAGCAGAAGCAGCAATAATGGGCATTAAATGGGCGACCCAATTTACCAAGGGGCCTATTCATCTCAGAATGGACTCCCAATCGACAGTCAAAGAAGCAAGAAATCTCCAAAGAGCAGGAGTATTTTCAATTCTCAAAACGCTACTTGAAGCCCATAATGTTTCAATCAAACATGTTTATCGGGAAGAGAACGAAGCGGCCCACAATCTCGCACAACATGCCATCCGATCCAACTCATTTAAAACTTTCAATAACTTTTACTCTCTCCCTAAAAATGTAAAGGGAGCCATCACTTGTGACATTTCTTGTACCAACTTCCGAATTATTTAATAAAAATCCTTTCTTTAAAAAAAAATATATATATATATACACATACATATATAAGTTCCATTGGAATTTCACTAACACATTCAATTTTTTAAATGATCCCTACCTTTTTTTTCTATTCGAACAAGTTTACTTATAACTTTTAAATTTTTCTGATTTACAACTTGGTATATCCATAATTGCCCGAATGTAAACAACAAAACAACTAAAGACAACTGCCAAGAGATTGAGAAACATCGGTTTAGTGTCCTCATACACGAGAGCACGAGACGTCCCCAAAACCAACAAAGAAGTAAACATACCCAAATCGAAGCGTGTGTGCGCAATGCGTAGGATAGCAAGCCATGCCACGGCGAGGCAAAAGAGGCTAAGTGTTGTATACACGTACATTAGTCATGTCGCCGTATATGCTCTTTGCAATTCCACAAACAATTCCAATGAATGCCTTCATGGGTAGGAGTTAATGGGGTCCTTCGTAATATTAAATTAAACCCGCCAACCATGCAAAACACTCTGATGTAAGTAGGGGTGGGCGCGGATCGGGACGGTCTGGGTTTTAGGTTGTCCCACGTCTTGTCCCGTTATATATAAACGGTCCGGAACTGTTCGAACTACAATCTTATCCCGGTTCGTCCCATAAAATTCGGGATCGAAATAAACCGGGACGGATTCAGGTCGTCCTACTTTGTCCTAATCACAAATATAAAAAGGGGGAGAGGGTGACATTTCATTCAAAAAAAAAACATCTAGACATCCAACAAAAAACAATGACTGGAACATGTTCAAATAAAATTCAAGCCTATGAAGTTAACTTAATTAAATAACTAATTACTTCAAAAATGAGTGTATTTGGATTTTGGACTAAAATTAGTACTCCCTCCGTCCCCCATAAATCTTCCTAATAGCCCTTTTTCTTTGTCCACAATAGATCTTCTCATTTCATTTTTTAACAATTAAAATACCACAACTACCCCCACTTATTTTATTTATTACACCTCACTCACCTCATTTAATACACTCCATCCATTTTTCATTAAGGGTATTATGGTAAACTTTCACCTTTTTTCAACTCTCCTTAAAAACCACCAAAAGTCAAAATGAGAACATCTTAGGGGGACAGAGGGAGTATTATATATTAATAGAGTGGATGAAACGGGACAAACGGGATGGATTGATATAAGTTTAAGTTGTCCCGCTCATGTCCCATTTGATATTGGGACAGAACGGGTTCGGGATTAAAAAAAAATTGTGTCACAATATATCGGTACAATTACAAAACGGACCCGAGATTTTTTGGAACGGTCCAACGGGAACGGATTTCACGCTCACCCAAAGATGTAAGCGCCAAGCTGATTAAAATGCTCGCAAGAGGGGTAACAATGAGAAGAAATAGGATAGAAAGGGGCAACCCCATCCATCCAGCACCGACGAAACTCTTAACGCCCGTTATAAAAAGTATGCCAAAAAAGAGCCAAATAGCGAGCCATGCCTCCGGCCTTAAGTGCATCACACCTCTCTTGAACACGATGAAAACCATAAACCGCCCATAAGTGGCATCTCCCCCGTAGTCCATTCACCTGATGTATATATATATATATATATATATATATATATATATATATATATATATATATATATATATATATATATATATATATATATAAAAGTTCCATTGGAACTTCACTAACACATTCAATTTTTTAAATGCTCCCTACCTTTTTTTTTGTTTTCTATTCGAACAAGTTTACTTATAACTTTTAAATTTTTCTGATTTACAACTTGGTATATCCATAATTGCCTGAATGTAAACAACAAAACAACTAAAGACAACTGCCAAGAGAGTGAGAAACATCGGTTTAGTGTCCTCATACACGAGAGCACGAGACGTCCCCGAAACCAACAAAGAAGTAAACATACCCAAATCGAAGCGTGTGTGCGCAATGCGTAGGATGGCAAGCCATGCCACGGCGAGGCAAAAGAGGCTAAGTGTTGTATACACAGTAGTCATGTCGCCGTATATGCTCATTGCAATTCCACAAACAATTCCAATGAATGCCTTCATGGGTAGGAGTTAATGGGGTCCTTCGTAGTATTAAATTAAACCCGCCAACCATGCAAAACACTCTGATGTAAGTAGGGGTGGGTACGGATCGGGACGGTCCGGGTTTTAGATTGTCCCACGTCTTGTCCCGTTATATATAAACGGTCCGGAACTGTTCGAACTACAATCTTATCCCGGTTTGTCCCATAAAATTCGGGATCGGAATAAACCGGGACGGATTCGGGTCGTCCTACTTTGTCCTAATCGCAAATATAAAAAGGGGGAGAGGGTGACATTTCATTCAAAAAAAGAAACATCTAGACATACAACAAAAAACAATGACTGGAAAATGTTCAAATTAAATTCAAGCCTATGAAGTTAACTTAATTAAATAACTAATTACTTCAAAAATGAGTGTATTTGGATTTTGGACTATAATTAGTATTATATAATAATAGAGTGGATGAAACGGGACATACGGGACGGATCGGTATAAGTTTAAGTTGTCCCGCTCATGTCCTATTTGATATTGGGACAGAACGGGTTCGGGATTAAAAAAATTGTGTCACAATATATCGGTACAATTACAAAACGGATCCAAGATTTTTTGGAACGATCCAACGGGAACGGATTTCACGCCCACCCGTAGATGTAAGCGCCAAGCTGATTAAAATGCTCGCAAGAGGGGTAACAATGAGAAGAATTAGGATCGAAAGGGGCAACCCCATCCATCCAGCACTGACGAAACTCTTAACGCTCGTTATAAAAAGTACGCCAAAAAAGAGTAAAATAGCGAGCCATGCCGTCGGCCTTAAGTGCGTCACACCTCTCTTGAACACGATGAAAATCATAAACCGCCCATAAGTGGCATCTCCCCCGTAGTCCATTCACCTGATATATATATATAAGTTCCATTAGAACTTCATTAACATATTCAATTTTTTAAATACTCCCTCCCCTTTTTGCTTTCTATTCGAACAAGTTTATTTATAAATTTTAAATTTTTCTGATTTACAACTTGGTATATCAACTTTTAAATTCGAACAAGTGAGGAGTAATGAGTAATAAAGTTTACAAAGCATTGAGTTCTCAAGCATACAAACCATGTAGATTTCATATCCATAATCCATCAACATCCAAATCAAATTAAACTAACAATGTAGAAAAACAAATAACACCCATCGCCTCTCACCGCCGTGCCCTCACACATCAGCTCTAAGCTAAAGAGGTCTGTCCTTTAACTCCATAACAGCCCGAATGTAAACAACAAAACAACTGCCAAGAGAGTGAGAAACATCAGTTTAGTGTCCTCATACATGAGAACACGAGACGTCCCCAAAACCAAGCTAAAGTTGGGCTTAGAAGAAAAGCTTCAGAAGGCCGATTATTATATGTGATTTGTTAGATTGTGTTGAATGGATTCACGATAGAGACACCACAAGAGGTTCGATACACCACGTGATTGTGGCATGTCACAAATAGATGGGGATACATTGCAACTTCAACATCTGTAACATTCTACAAGATCAAAATAAAGTTATAGAATTACTTTCTAAAATGGGAAATGACTGAGCACTGGTTTCACAAGAGTTAGAGATCCCACCGAAAGATGCTCGTCAATTACTAGGCAAGGATAAGCAGGAATGTAATTAGCCGCGTGTGACATTGAGAAACCTTTCATGAGATTTTGGGGTTTTACTCTGTTTCGATAAAAAATGTGTAGAACCCAATTTGTACTAATCAATAGTTATTAGAAATAATATATAAATGTATAAGGAAATAGAATATTATTATTTATTACTTTCATTATTACATTACTTCTTTAATTTTTCGAACGGAGTACCGTAGGGGCCTCGGGTCATCCCATGACATTAATTTCCAATGTCATGGGAACCGTAGTGTTCTTCTCAGGGCAAGGTTCAAATGACAATCAATGAGTTGGGGGAGTTTACCGGGGGTAGGAACAATCAATTTTTCGAACGGAGTACCGTAGGGGCCTCGGGTCATCCCATGACATTGATTTCCAATGTCATGGGAACCGTAGTGTTCTTCTCATACTATGATTAGAACTCTTTCTTGTAATCTTATTTATATGGATGTATCTTTTATTATTCAATAAAACTAATTATTATTGAATTTAATACTCCCTCCGTCCTTGAAAACTTTTCTCCTTTCTTTTTTCATCCGTACCAAAAAACACTTCTCATTTCTACTAAAAAGTCACTTTTACCCCTTACTTTTTTATACACTACCTATCATATCATACCTTTTTACTAATAATCTATTCATCAAATCATACTTTTACTCATCACATCAAAAGACATTTTTGGAAATTCAATACCAAAATACACTCTCCTCAAATCCTTCTTCAAAATCAAAACTCCCATGTTTTCCGGGAGTAATAAACATGCCTCCAATGTATATCTTTTCCGAGAGGACTTTCTTTATATACAAAAACAAAATAGTGATTTACCTGAGCTTCAATGTCTCCGACAGAATTTTTCTTCGTAATTAGATTATATATGTCTCAAATGAAATATCTTTTGGGCCAAATTACTTCAAATTATTGTATTTCTTGTATTTATATTATATTTTTTAGTTTGTTTGTAATAAATTATACTCCGTATAACTTAATAGTATGTTAATTTTATTTGTTTGAATTTCTAAGAGTGACTTTCACGAAAATCGAGATTGGATGTATAATAGATTAGCAACTCATAGAACAAAAACCAAATTATGAGTTATTGAGTTACATATTTTTATCCATAAAATAAGAACAATACCGACAATGTAAACATATAATACTAAAAACATTATGGAATACCAATGCACATCACCAAAACACCATAATGCAATTTTAAATTTGGAGGTTAAAAACATGGATATCCTATTTTTTATACTTTTTCTATATTTTATTTCTAGCGGGTAGATTTTTTATCCCACAAAACTATATATTAGACACTTCACAGCAGACGCAATATGTATAATCGGGGAGAAACTTCAAATTTGGTATTTTTAAAGCACTAGAAATTCTCTTGAAGCCCCGGGGTTCAAACCGGGACTTCAAAATTTTTTCTTTTTGTCACGCCAGTTTTAACTTACATCACAATTTCACTAGAAATAGGTTTTGAAGCCCCGAGGGCTTCAAACTGGGATTTCAAACCTCTATTTTTACATTTTGAATACCCATCTTGTAAAATTAAATTAATAATATTTTATTATTTAATTAAATCTAAACGAAAATAATTCATTAGATAAAAATTACATTCAATAAAAAATTACATTAATAAAAAAGATTTGAATAATAACAACATAAATAAGAAAAATTAAAAATTATATTGCATTACGAAGAAATTAGTGGTTTTTCGAGGGACTAAAAATATCTTCAATCAAATAGTACATTGTAAATCTCTCGGCTTCAAATTTCGTGGTGATTTCTTCGTTTCTTTTCTCTCATTTTTTGAATATTTTATAGAGAAAATTAAAAAGAAAATAGAATATATTTTGAATGAGTTATAGA